ATTGCTGCTTTCTAAATTCCATTAATTGTGGTCTATTTCTGTTGGATAAATGTGTTCCCTACCTACAGCATTCTTTTCACTCAGGCCCTCAAACTTCTTTCTCATGTCAAAGCCAAGAGTTACAAAGCCAGACTCTGGAATGGAGAACACTACTTCACGGCTATTTTTATTAAAGGATTTTTGTATCACAAAAGTAGAAATACTGTTGATGAGATAAATTACCTAAAAAGAAGATAAACTGAAAAGGCAGGGAGAATATATCATGCATTTCAGAGTTGCTCATCTATTCCATTTTGCCATATCACTGTCCTTATTATGAAAGCACTCCTCCTTCTCCATTGAATTTTCATCCATAGAGGTGTCGTAATCTTACAAAGAAAGCAAAATAACCTGGGCACGAAGTTGGCAGGCGAGAGTTTTGATAGTCTATCACAAAAGCAGAACAATTGCTTAAGGGAGAGAGAAAGGGGGGGAGGCGGGAGAGAGAATATGAATATAATCTTTTCAAGGAAACAAAACCTTCCACGGAGTTGTATCGATACTAAAATTTATCCAATTCTACATGAATTCTCAAGTTTGAAATACTGGCCGATTCTCACTATTTCCTTTCAATTAATTTCTCTAGCCTACAATTCCATGCAAGTTGGTGAATATCTAAGTAAGAGAGATGATAACACTTTTATCTCCCAAATTTAAACCTATTTTTCTATATAATTTTAAAAAAGAGTAACTGACATAAAAGGCACAACACATAGAATTACAGTCACTAATTGGCACGCACTTATCAAGTATCAGGTTTTATGTACATTATTTTAACTAATTGTTAAGATACTGAAACTTCACCATGTGAACATTATGATGCCCAAGTAAACTAAAGACAAGGAAACTAAAGCTTAAAGAGGGTAAATGATTTGCCACGGGTCACAGAATAAGAGAGGGAGGTGGAATTCACATCCAAGTACATCTTGTTCTCAAGTGTCTCCTCCCTATTTCCTCTTATAACTAAAATGAGTAAAAGGTACAACAAATGACCACATTTGACTTATTAGGACATAAATACTGGTTTCAAATATAAGTACTAAGTCAGACATAAGTTGCTTTATACTGAAAACATTTAGAAACAATTCAGCAAAATTAGCACTCTACAGGTTGCTAGCATCCCTGGTCTGGGGCAGTTTCTTAACTTTTCTTTCATTATGGTGTCCCAAAGGGGTCTTCGTGACATTTTTTTCTTAATCGCTCTCATTAAATTTTAATACCACAGTTATACCATATGTCCGCTTATGTATTATATGTGTATCTCTGCTCTGTATGTAAAAAGAGTTAAGATTTCTTAAAATTCTTGCCTCCTGGAATGAATGTTTGCCCCTTGAGGGCCAATGAGAATACATAATCTAGAGGGTGTAGCTGTGTTTTTTGGGGGGGATTTTTTTTTTGCTATTTCAAAACCTCTCAGCCCACTGGCTATTACTTAAAATTGCATGGGCCTAGGGCTTTAGATCTTTAGCTTTAAGTTCTTCAGTGTGTTAAAATGCAAATACAGAGAAAATGTTGATGCACCACTATAAGCTGGTTAGCTCTTAGTGTGGACGGCCGAAGGACGGGAAAGCAGGCTGGAGAGGGGCAAGGGGGCTT